TTATTTCTTGTCATATGAAAGAAAAATAATACAACACATCATCACTTTGCTTCATGGAGCTGCGTCAGACGAAGCTCCGCCAGTCTTGTACCTACCTGCCGCGGCGGTCTTTTTATGGTGGGAGCGCCAGACTCCATCTCTTTCACCAGAACCTCAGGAAAAATATATATATGTGGGGACGCCACTGTGGATGGAGGTATATTTCACAATAAAGGACCAGACACAGAATCTCACCCAACAGGGGTTTGGTCGGTGACCCAAATCTGAGCGAAATGAAAGAGTGATATCCAGGGTAATGTTGACACGTAGAGGAGTCACATATGGTGATCAATAACGCAAGGCTTTACTTCACTCTTCTCTAGTTCTTGTTATCATTTTCTCTTTCATTCTTTATCTACTCCCCCCCATATCGTTCTTACACGACACCCAACATCTTACACGACACCCAACATCTTACACGACACCCAACATCTTACACGACACCCAACATCTTACACGACACCCAACATCTTACACGACACCCAACATCTTACATGACACCCAACAACTGCAATTAACAGATGCCACATTGGGTGATGGATTTGCATAATTTCTCGAGTTGTAATACGAAAGTTTGTCTATTACGGAGACCACCAGCTGACGTGTTAATGAAAGTTTAGTTTGATGTGTACTTTTGATGATTGTCTTGGTAATATGTTAGCGGTAATAGTGGTAAAGCCATAGTGGGAATAATAAACTCTATAATTGGAATAATGGAAGTAATAGGAGTTTAATATGATAATATTTATAATAATTACAATATAATTTGTATTTGAATATTAAAAGATACCAAGTAGTATCAGTAGTAGTAGTAGTAGTGGTAGAAGTAGTAGCGCTAGTGGGTGTTTATAGTAGTAGTAGTAGTAGTAGTATTAGTAGTAATAGTACTATAAACAGTAGTAGGGATAATAGTATCTATCTATCTATATAATATATTACATGCAGAAAGTAAGACTCACACATGTGCTACTCACCCTGACGGAGGTTCCCTTAAGATGAATTACGTGTGACGTCAGTTAGTAATGGTGCCAGGGGCTGACACCCACCACCGAGCCCCAGCAATATATCTCAAGACTGACTTTTGTTGAATATTTTAGAAAATGTCCCTGGAACTGTCATATTTTATGTCTTGTACAGGAATAAGTATTTAACTCCTGTACTGAGGAAATCTGAGGTTACGTAAGGAATAATAAATTTACATTACGGTTGTTTTGCGAAGTCAGGTTTGGAATTAAGCCATTCAGATGCAGTTTGCAGTATGTTGACCTACTTATTTCAAACGTTCACGAAGTCGTAATTATCTCTAAAACACATAGTAGATTTCAGTAGTGTCCCACTTAAAAAAACCTTTTATACGATTTATTATAATGAACTGCGGGAGAGGGTTCATAGTCATTAGTTTTGGTACAACACTGTAATTCCTTTTGCTTTATGAGTTTAGAATGTTCACACACACACACACACACACGCACGCACGCACGCACGCACACACACACACACACACACACACACGCACGCACACACACACGCACACACACACACGCACGCACGCACACACACACACACACACACACACACACACACACACACACACACACACACACACACACACACACACACACACACACACACACACACACACACACACACACACACACACACACACACACACACACACACACACACACACCGAGCTATAGTACATAATTAACTACTAATGATATATCTCCTTTACAGAAACCTAATTAAGGTTCACATATAAATTACATAATACAATTTGTGGAATAAATCAACATTTCATAAGGGCTCTGAATAATTATATTTCTCTACCAAGGAATTTATTAATTTTGGTGCTGCTAAAAAAAATAAATTTCTTAAATAACTTTTATCTGTCTGTTATCGTTGTCTATGTTTCTTTGACTGCTTCTCCCTTTAAAGAGACGATCATCCTCCTTAGCCTTACAGTGAAACCTATGTTTAACGGCCTATATGGAGATGAAAGTCCTTTATATAGAGGGACCTTCTATATAAGGGACTTTCATCTCTATATAGTTTGTTGGATGGGAGTTTCATATCTAACGGACCATCGAGAAAGAGAAATCCGTTATATGGAGGTTTTACTGTACGGCATTACGGTAAGCAAAACTCTTTTTTTTGTTATAGTAATATTCCTCGCTTCCCAGACCCCGCTCCCCCAGACCTCGCTCCCCCAGACCTCGCCTCCCACAGACCTCGCTCCCACAGACCTCTCTCCCCTAGACCTCTCCCGAAGACCTCTCTCTCCTCCAGACCCCACTCCCCCAGACCTCTCTCCGAAGACCTCTCTCTCCAGACCTCTCCCCCAGACCTCTCCCAGACCTCTCTCAAGACCCTCTCCCCCAGACCTCTCTCCCCCAGACCTCTCTCCCCAGACCCTCTCTCCCCAGACCCCTCTCCCCCAGACCTCGCTCCCCCTACCTTAGTTAGAGTTAGTTCCTCAACGACCGCGTCTCACTCACCTTCAGTATTCTGGTCTCCTCTGTCAACTTGTGCCAAGGATAATGGAACATCCGACCTGCTTACAAATTATGGTGCCCGGAACCCTGTTATGAATGGTGATGTGTGTGTGTGTGTGTGTGTGTGTGTGTGTGTGTGTGTGTGTGTGTGTGTGTGTGTGTGTGTGTTTTTTTGTCTCTGTACTATATGTACGTGTGTCTGTCTCCCGTCTTACTCGTTATAAAGGTCGTAGGCTCCAAACTTTTTCTCTTTAATTCTGTAGTTTTCAGCATTTTTTTCTTTCTAATATTTTCGTAAATCTACAGAAATTAAATTAAGGTGAGGCAGTCTTCCTCCTCCCGCTGTAGGCAAGTGTAGGCGGCCTCCTTCCTAACTCCTGAAGATTTTTTATGTATAATTTAATTCAAAATGTTCTGAGTTTCCTTACTTATTACAGGAACTTGAGACAGACAGACAGACAGACAGACAGACAGACAGACAGACAGACAGACAGACACCAGTAGAGAAAGAAGAATTTAAGATTTTCTAGCCCTCATCATAATTATTTTCACCACACCTTAAACAAGTCAAAATAACCCAATATTAATATTTATCAGTTATATAGAAAGCTCTGTTTACTTGACCTTCAGTATTGACGTTATATTCCAGAACCAGAAACAATTGAAACAATATATAACCACAAGTCAATTATTATGCTGAAATAGGTGCACATCTAAACTTCCCTTTCTCCCACTTGTGTTTGTTACGTTAATTATTATGTTTGGTGAATTTCTTTTAATTTCATGATTTATTTTGTTTTGAAATGCCTTAGCTGCCGTTCGCTAAAGCTTAATTCCTACAATAAACTCGCTTATAAAAATTCAAAATATTTCTCTCTCACTTTTTCTTTTTCCCCTTCCTTTATTATTGTCACTTGTATCACACAGACGGATTTAGTCATAAAACGAGTGTAAATAAATAGCTGTATGAAAAATATAACCAGATATATTTTATAAAAACAAACTCATGGAAAAATATATTTCATGAGCAGCTTCCACTGGTTCGCGCGACAGTTTAGTTGCCAATTGATTGTTTTCTCTGTGTTAACGGACGTGTGAGAAGTACTGTACTGTATACTCCTAGACTCCTTGTTCGTCCTGGATATTTTACCTCACTGTCCACTTTTATTTTCCCTGCGTGGATATACTCCTTGTTCATCCTGGAATTTAAATTTTTTTTTATACTAGTGGGGATTTATATATAGATTAGGAATAATGTTTTTCCCGAATGTTTTCAGGAATTGGAATTCAATTTTGATTTATGGCTCGTCAGAGGTATAAAATACAAAGGTTCCTCGCGCTTGTTTTCACGGATTTATTGGCTGTAAAAGAAAGAAAAAAGCAAAAAAAAAAGAACTATGGTTTTTAGTGGGTGTTTTGAAGGAGTTAATTTTTTATATTTTTATTCTAACTTCCATACAAACGGAGGCAGGTGTGAAGAGTAACACCAATATACCTGTACAAGTGTGTGAGTTTAGATACATCACACACACACACACACACACGATCATCCAAAATATTTATCACTTCGTACTATTAACTGAGATTAACTAACTAATCTTAATAACTTGACACATAATATATTTTCAATGTTTATATTATGCTGTAGGATGAGAGGTTTACCCACACTATTCCTTGTGTTCGTTGTTGCCTCATACCGCACCGCGAGAGTTGTCCTACAGTAACAGGAAGCGTTGTGAGCCACGAGTTAAGAACTTACTTTGTATACTGCATCAGCAAGTTGAGGACACGAGGAAGAGTGTGTGTGGGGGGGGGTGGGGGGGGGGGGGGGGGGTATTTGCGTGTTGTTTCAGCTGAACCTTTGTGTGTGAAGTTCGCTCCACCACTTGTAAGGATTAGAAATTTATCCTTTGTTATCTATAGAATATACATTTATCCATTCACATCCCCACTGTTTTTGTTTTTAAAGTATTGATTACAATGGAAAGTTATATTGTTCAGCGAAACCACATCCGTTCAGGCGTTTGGTACAGTGTGATACTCTTTGGCTAAGTCTTAAGAAAATATCAAATTACGTGATGGCAACAGCAAATACATTAAGCTCTAGAACACATGAATGCATTACTGTAGTTACTGATTACAGCCTGAAGCGTCCCACTGTGTGTGTGTGTGTGCTCAGAATAACGAAAAACATATTGAATATTATCAGTATTAGTGGAAATAAACTTGAAAAATATCACTATTATTAAGATTTTGTTTCAAGATTACCTCTAATTATTTTTTATTATATAATTTCAGAGTACATTTAATTATACTGAATTTTTTAAATCGGGTAATTTTCTCTGGCACATCCTCTCTCTCTCTCTCTCTCTCTCTCTCTCTCTCTCTCTCTCTCTCTTTCTCGGGTTTAAGGTCATTCTAGAGTTATCTTCTCTTTGTTATCTCCCTCTCTTCCTACGGCCGCAGGCGTGAGCGTGACAGACGACCAGAGGGATGCAGTGCGGCCGGAGTTCGGGGCAGCAGAGTCGACGGTGACGGTAAAGGAGGGAGAGACGGCCAAGCTGCCTTGTGTTGTCCTCCACCTCAACGACAAGTCTGTGAGTACTCTCGACCCACCACACTCTCCTCTACACTATCACCCCCACGCTCTCTCTTCCTTCTTTATCTCTCCCCTCAACCCCTAACAATCACCTCAGCTAACAATCACCTCAGCACCCTCCACTCCTCCCTCTAACTCTCCCCATCACCCCCACATTCTCCCCTTCATCCCAACAATCACCCCAGTACTCTTCCCTCCACCTTACTACCTCCAACTTTAAGTCTCAGCTCCCAAAGGTCGTCACAGCGCTGGATGACACGTGACAGCTGGTGTGTTTGCGGATCCTGGGGGGGATTTTCGGCCAGCGCTGAGCAAAACCTTCCAGGCCTTATGGATAATGGGACCTGTAGTAAGGCTGAACGGTGTTGGTGTATTAGTAGGGAATGGGAGACAAGAGGATGATGTTGGTGATGACGAGAGAGAGAGAGGGAGAGAGAGATAATGAGTGGGGGAAAGAAGGAAGGAAGGAAGTAGTTTGCGTTTAAGGAAAGGGGATAATGGACAGGGGTGGACTTGGCTGATTTAATGGAAATAATGGATGAAGTTCGTGAAGACTGGGAATTAAGTGGATAATAGGGTGAGATGGTTGGGCTGGAAATTAACTAGATAGGAGTAGTAATGATGGTGGGTTGTGGGAGGAAATTGATGAAATAATGGTTAAGGCTGATGAGACTGCGTAATAAAGTGGTGGTGGTGGTGGTGGTGGTAGGGTGGGTAGTGGTGGTGGGGAGGGTGGTAGTGGTGGTGGGGTGGTAGGGGTGGGGTGGGTGGGGTGGGTAGTGGTGGTGGGGAGTGGGTGGTGGGTGGGGTGGTGGTGGGGGTGGGAGAGTGGTGGGAGGGTGGTAGGGTGGTGGGGTGGGGTGGGTAGTGGTGGTGGAGGGTGGTGGGGTGGTGGTGGTAGTGGTAGTGGGGTGGGGTGGTGGTGGTGGCGTGGGTGGGTAGTGTGGTGTGGTAGGTGGTGGGTGACGGCGGCTGGCAGTATGTATCGGATAATTTTGGTTAGATTTCTGAAAATTTGTCGATAGAAAAGAAAGACAGCTTTAATTTTTTTTTCTCGTCTCATGAATGACAAGGGTGAAAAAAAAATAAAAAGTGAGAAAACAAGATAGTAAGATTTATTTTGGATAGGAACTCAAGAGATTATTATATTTGTACTGCTACTGTGTTACGTGGTAGGTGTGAGAGATAGGGTGAAGTACTTGATGATGAATCACTATGAGGATTAAGACTGGTAAGGCACCAAAGGGAACTAAACATATTTTCTTTACTACATCTATAAAGAACTCGAATAATAGAATAAAAAAGCTATGATTAAAATATGCATAATTAATTAAACCACAAGTAATCAGAGTAATTTTCTGTATTTACTAACCATAGAATTTTGTATTGTTGAAGTGATCCGTCAATCTCAGGGAGTCTCGGTTTGATGTAATGTTTGTCATGATTAGATTAATGATTGGTTCCCCAGCCTAAACAAAGATTCGTTAGGTTAGGTTATCTTACTGTTTACCCACACTGTTTATGTATATTTATTGTATACCTTCACTAAATATGTATATCGTGTACCTGCATTGTCTATATACATTCAGAATTGTATCCAGGTATTGTCTAGATGCATGCTGAATCAATGCTAATTTATATGACGATTTTCCTGAATAAAATTAAACCGAGAAAACGTGTAAATCGTGCCATTAATACATGGTAGGAAGCTTGGTTAGAGAAACATAAACTTCTACAAGTAAACAAGAAAAACTATTACAGTTTTTAGTTGTTTCGGCGTTTTAACTTGTACGTTTCCGGAGACAAGTTTTAAATTTTTAGGTTTAAGTTTCCTGACCTCTCAAGCTTTCTCGTGTTTTTTCTTTTCCCGAGTCATTATTAGTTTGTGATTGTTTCATCTTTTCATTGGTATATATTTCATTTGTCATCCACAGCTTGTAATTATTGGATCTATCTTTTTTTTTTTTAACTCGGAATTGAGTCACGATAATTTTTGTTGGGTTATAATTCGAAGCCCGACAAGCTCGCCTCTACTCCCTTGGGTCGGGGAACATCAACCTCATGTCATGCACTCAGTCATAAATAAACGTAAAACGAAAACGAAAATTATAAAAATAAACACACACAAACAAACTGGTGTGTGAATATGTTTAGTGTAGTCAGGAAAATATGAAAAAAAAATCAACTGGAGTTAATTAGAGGAAGAGAACGTGGAAGTGTCTTGGTTGTATGTCGACACAGAAGGGTCAAGTGACGTGAACACCAATGAAGGGAAAGGGATGAAAATGTGATTGCCAATGAGACGAGATACGAGTGGGAGGTGAGGAACACTTTTATGGTGGATGATTCAAAAGAACATCTGTGAATAATAGTGAATAAGATCTGAAGAAGCTGCAGTATAGCCTGAGTGAATTATATTTTTCTTTTACATGAAGCACACCTGACTTACGAAACTGGGTAAGAATTGTTCATCAGTCGAGTAATGTCTGGCTCAGAGCATGAATCCGAGCATCGTAGAAGCAGTTTTGGCCAAAGATCGAAAACATAATGGTGAATTTTGGAAAGGGCTTCAAAAACTAAGGCTTTGGTGCCCCGTTGTCGAAGGGAACACACATGATAGAACACATTTGGTGAAGCGGCTACAATGAATGGATGATAACGAATGATAGAGAGTCTGTATGCTCAAGATGATATATATAAAAAAATAATATTTTCCTCCACTCAACAATTAGAATAAAGTGAATTGAAACAAATAACAGTAAGTTTAAAATTTCCATAACCTAACGTACCCTAACCTAAGCAAGTTAACTTAACCAAATTTAACCTAACACCTAACTTAACTATACTACTGCTATTATTATTATTATTATTATTAGTAGTAGTAGTAGTAGCAGTAGAACCGGTGATATAAAATACGTGTAAAATAAATGTGTTGGTAGTATAGACACACACACACACACACACACATACACACACACACACACACACACACACATACACACACACACACACACACACACAGCCTTAATCCGTGAGCAGTGGTGGAGGTTGATTCACACAACCGCAGGGGATGTACACCCACAGCACCACACAACATCGCATTACCTCCTGATCTCTGCTCGGCCGATATACTGTGTGTGTGTGAGAGAGAGAGAGAGAGAGAGTTTTACCAGAAAGTCAGGGAACATCATGCAGTCTCACCTGTCCACTATACCTGCCGACCTACCTGGGTTGACCTTCATCAAACATGTATACATTTTATGTTTGTTTAAGTCTTGACGTTGTATTTCTTCTCTTTGTATTTTTAAAAGTTTTCACTGATGTATTCTGGTTGCGTTCTCTATCTCTCTCTCTCTATCGTTCTCTCTTTCTCTCTATCCCTCTCTCTCTGTCTGTCTCTTACTCTCGCTCTCTCTTCGTCTTTTGTCTGTTTATAGATCTAACTGTTTATCGACTGTCTATCTGTCTGTCTGTCTGTCTGTCGTATATCTCTTTGCCTGATTTTCTTTCTTTCTACCTGTCTCTCCATTCACATTTTTTATCCATCTATTTGTTTCTGACTCTCTTCGTGTACCTTTCTTAATTATCTGTCCACCTGTGTGTTTATCTTTCTGTCTGTCTGTCTGTCTGTCTGTCTGTCTGTCTGTCTGTCTGTCTGTCTTCGATATATTCACTTCACTGATACACACAGGTAGGATAGGCTGTAGTACTACCTGTTCCTACACATCTATACCAATATGAACGGTACAGTATATCCACGGCATAACTCGACAATAGAAGAGGTGTAATATTCCTGACCTGTAAAATATATCCACCATAAGGTCAAAGGTCAGGATCGTCTGGGACTCTGGGTCACAGTTTTTGATAAAATTCCCTTACACTTCTGCCACCTGATATTATTAGTGAACTACCTGGTACACTTTCCCATTGATTGATTAATTGTACAGGTAAATCCCTCTCTGTATACACTTATACTTTATTACAGGTACCTTACTAATAAAACCAATGGTCCTTTAGGTACTCTCACCCATTCATCTAAGTCTCAGAAGGCGAGCATAAACTCTACATGTTTCCCTGTTGGTCGGTGCAATGCTTCTAAGCTTCACTAGACACAGGATTGCAAAGGGGTGCTCAATAAACTAGTCCCTGTGCTGCGTAGGGTAGATCTAGAAAAAACAAAAACAAGCTATGAATATGTTGTGAATAAATGTATAACTCGTTTCTAGAAATAGTTAAAATATATAAATATTCGTTGTGGTGTGTTAATTCATTTTGAGAAACTTCTAAAACTGGTATGGATATTAAGTCAATCGATTAAAGGTTAGAATCAAAACACTGAAATAAACATTACTTTTGGTGTGTCTGTGTTAGTGTGTGTGTCTGTGTAGATGTGTGTGTGTGTGTGTGCTAATGTGTATCTAAGTGTGAGTCTGTTTTAGTGTAAGTGTGAGTCTGTCTTTATAAACACACTGTGTACACGTACGTGGCCCCTGTCTACTTGTGTCCGTTCCTATCTCTGTTTATTTGCAAGTATGTCAGTGTGTGTGTGTGTGTGTGTGTGTGTGTGTGTGTGTGTGTGTGTGTGTGTGTGTGTGTGTGTGTGTGTGTGTGTGTGTGTGTGCGTGCGTGATGATAATCATTGCCATGCAGGTGTACAGGTGTGTACATTGTTCGTTTAGAAGTTGCAGGTGTCACTAATTAATCCCGTCTACCTGTCCCTCACCAGGTAACGTGGCTGAGGCGCCGAGACCTCCACATCCTGACGGTGGGTCACCTCACATACTCCGCCGACCAGCGCTTCCAGGTACTGACTCTCCCTTGTCTCCCTTGTCTCTCTCCCTCCCTCTCTCTCCTTCTCTCTCTCCCCTTTATATTTCCTGTCTATATATCTCTTTCCTCTCCACCCCTCCATTTCCCTTGTCTCCCCTTCTAATTCTCCTGACCCTCCCTCTCCCTCCCTTTCACCCTCCTTCCTCTTCTCTTTCTCTTCCCTCTCTGCAGCTCTCTATCCCTCTTTCCCGTTCCTCCTTCCCACTCTTCCCTTCCTCTTCTCCCCCTCGCCTTTCTCCCTCTCCTTGTCCTCGCTTTCCACTCACCTTTTCCCCTTTACTCTCTCCTCTCTCTTTAAACTTTTGTCTTTTCTCTCCCTCCCCTCAAATTCCCCTTTCTTTCCTCCTTCTCTCTCTCTCCTAGCTCCCTCTAGCTCCCTATAAGGCGCATTTAGTCATGTCCCTACTATAGTCTTTACAGGAAATTGAGTTTAAGTGCAGTTTGATTTCACTGTCTTACTTTAACTCGCTCCTAAATAACTTTTGAGTCTCAGTTTACTTGTCCCTGGTATGATGATCGTTATAATAGGCATTTTGCTATGATTATAATGAGAAAGTAGATGAGTGTTCCTGCTGTATATACCAGAAGCCATATGCTGATATTATAATGATGACTATCGCTACTGCTTATGGCCTGTTACAGCAGATTAAAAAGAGACGAGAATTATTCGTCACTAAATAACACGTATAAAACATGCACAGCAGAAGGTACATAATTAGCGCACCAAAGACCTCCAGGGTGAACTATGTTGCGCTGAGGCAAATGGAAGAATAATTACTCTCTCTTCGATATACAAATAAGAGGCTAAATACACCTTACTCCTAGGATGCTGTTGTGACTATATTGCTATGCTGTGTGTGGAGTCTGGTGCCGGTGGTGCTCAAGGACAGTTGATATCAAGTCATCACAATAATGTTCTCCCTGTACAGCTTGCACATTTGCTGTTATTGTACTTTTGTTTTATGTATCTAGGTAATATATTATTATTATTATTATTATTAGTAGTAGTAGTAGTAGTAGTAGTGTAGTAGTTGTAGTAGTGGTAGTATAAGTAGAAGTAATAATAATAACAATACATTTTTATCTGCCTATGTGTACGAACAGTAAACTATGTCAATATATAGTAAATAATTCAGTTACCATATTTATGCATTTATAGTATACGTTAAAATCTGTTCTTATTTATTCTTGTTTCTATGATGTAAAGTGAACTTCAATACACTGTAAAGCCGAACCATAACACACACACACACACACACACACACACACACACACACACACACACACACACACACACACACACACACACACACCCACACACACACACACTATAAGTTTCTCATCACAGCCATTATCGAGTGTGTTTCCATTCTCTAGTTTCATCTGATGATTCTCTCCTACATATGGAACATGCTGAAGGGAGGAATGAATGGATACAGATGATTCACTTACCCCTCAGTTGTCACTCTTCCTTACCTGTTATCTATTTTATTTCTCAACTATCTAACTTCCTTACTACCTGTCTATCTTCCTTAATTAGTGTACTGTATCTCTTTCCCTCACCAGAAGTGTATGGATGGTCAAAAATGGTCAGCCTCTTTAAAGCTCTCTTAATCTACTTCATGGCTAACCTAAGACTTCACTTATATCACCAACTTAAAAAAAAAATAATTAAATATATTCTGTTTTATTTTCTCTCTCTCCTTACCTTCCCTACCTGGTAATTGCTCTTTTCTATTCTATTCCCAATTACCTTGTGTTCTCCGTATATCTTAAAAACATCAATTAGACTTGTAGAGTATATAGGTCATAACGCGAATGTACAGTGTGGGCCTCCCTGAGTGTGCATGGGCAAGAATCCTGTAGTAGCGCAATAAGGAGGCTATCCAATCAGCAAGCAAAAATTTCCAGGGAAGTAGTGCCGCCACCTCACATCTGGCTGTTCTCTCTCTCTCTTGGTGCAGGAGGAATGGAGGGAGGTTTCCTAGAGTACTGCTGCATTAATTTTTTTTGTGTCATTGATTTATCTGATGTTAGTTCAGGTCCTCATCTGATGTCACGTTGACCAATCTCTACCCCATTATCAACATGACTACCAACATCTTTCCTCTCATCACTACTCCTTGCTTGTTCTTCATAGTGAGAGTGAAAGTGGTTCCCATAGGCATGGCTGTCCGTCAGGTACAGTGTGGATTCAGCGCACTGTATACTTAGCCTCTGGTACTCAAGGAGGTGGCCGGTACTGCACTCGACCGTCTTCACTTCAAGTTATGTACCCATTTACAGCTGGGTGAACTGGGAGTGCCCGGGAATCGAACCACCGGCTCCTGGAAAGGGGTCTTCCTCCCCCAGCAGCCCTGTCTCCCTTTAGCAGCTGTCTCCCCCTCTCCAGCTGTATCTTCCTCACCAGCTGTCTCTCCCTCACCAGCTGTCTTCCCCTTACCAACGGTGTCTCCCTCACCAGCTGTCTCCCCCTCTCCAGCTGTCTCTCCCTAACCAGCTGTCTCCCCCTCACCAATCGTCTCCCCTCTCCAGCTGTTTCTCCCTCACCAGCTGTCTCCCCTCACCAGCTGTCTCCCCTCACCAGCAGTCTCCCCTCACCAGCTGTATCTCCCTCACCAGCTGTCTCCCCCTGGCAGGTGGTACACGCGGAGGGCAGCCAGGAGTGGACCTTGGTGGTGCGCTACACTCAGCTGAGAGACGCCGGCGTCTACGAGTGTCAGGTCAACACTGAACCAAAACTCTCACGTCACGTCACACTCAGAGTCCAGGGTGAGTCTTGATGAGTCCAGTGTAAGTCTTGATGAGTCCATGGTGAGTCTTGATGAGTCCATGGTGAGTCTTGATGAGTCCATGGTAAGTTTTGATGAGTCCAAGGTGAGTCTTAATTTAGCACAGTATTAATTAAGCTAACCATAAGTTATATATAAAATCATCGCTCGCTGTCACAGTAATATTTGTGGTATATACAGTCACCTCGCTGACGGAAGTTACCAGTAATTGAAATTCCCCGAGCTATTCCGGCGTCCGCCTAAACTTGAGCAAGGCTGTTTGCTCAACATGTTGCTGTGACTGAAGTGGTAACAGAGAGAGAGAGAGAGAGAGAGAGAGAGAGAGAGAGAGAGAGAGATTTCTGTATTCTTATCAAAAACTATTCTTCTGGATAATTACCTATTCCTACGAACAAACGCCTAAAGTGGCAGGTGTGCTTTGGCTGTTAAGAATATTGAAATTGGGTCTCGTTGTTACAGTGTGGATACAGCACATTGACTATTAAGCCTCGTTTCACTAGGAGGCAATGTGGCTGGCACTGTATCCGACCGTCGTCATTTCTCCAGCCAAAGTTAGGCGCTCATTCACAGCTGGGTCGACTGGGGATGCCTTGGGCGAGGGTGAGCAGGAGGCGAGTGTGGTTTTTTAGTCAGGTCAGAGGGTAAGGTGACCCAACCTTCTCACCTGGTTACAAATCTTCTTAATTACAAAATTGTCCAGTTTGTACATGCCATTACTCAAATTCATGTTGAATGCTTCGGTATGTTTAATGAGACTAGATTCTATGATGTTCCTACTATCAATTAAATTACAAGGTAATATTGAGGAGGCATTATCCCAGTCAATGCAATGCTTGTTATCCCTCAAATGAACAAACAGAGCATTGGATTCCTGACTACCGACCGTTGCGGTACTATTTAAAGATTAGTAGGGCCATTACCTAATACCTGACCATTGTGGACCTGGTCTCACCCTCCTCTGTATATATACACCTTGTTTTGTACTTCTCTTTAGTCTGTACTCACCCCTGAAGATGTGAATTACACGAAAGTGCTTGGGAACTTCGTGTTTGAACTTTTATCAGCATATACCTAGATCACGCGCACCTACAGTGATTTACTTGCATATATATATATATATATATATATATATATATATATATATATATATATATATATATATATATATATATATATATATATATATATATATATATAATATGCTGGAGCTAGAATCAAGAGTAACAGTGTTGTTCATTTCCGCTGTGCCCAAAACAGATGTGTTCTGTTTTGATACATTTTCACAACATAGCATTAAGATTTCTCTGTCGCTTTAGGTAAACAACATCAGCAGGTTCTTTCCTTATACACTACTTTACACTGCAGCTCCCAGTTATGCGCGCACAGTATTGCATCCTGGGAGTAATCTCCCATCTAATGCCTTCTATCCCCTTCCTGGTTTTGTCCTCTACTTATTTTTGTCACATTACTTCTGTTCAGGGATACGGTGGCCGAGTGGATACATCGCTCACCTCCTGTCCCATGGGTCTGTTGTTCAATTCAGGGGCATTCCGAGTCCGTTCTACTGGAAATGGTTACCTAACTTTAGAAGTTGGGGGAAGTGCCGACCCTGCTGCCTCTTTGTCATGCCTGTGGGACCAGTTTCACTTATTTTCACCTTCAATATTAACATTATTCTATGTCATCTATCAAAGGTGTCAGTTTGGGTTTCATTTTCCTTCTAATAAACCCTTTAAACACCATGAACAACTTCCCAATTATTCCTTATATTATCGGTTCTTTCCACTTAATTTTTCTTATGTTTTTATAGGACGATTTTTTTTTCGATTCATAAAAGCCATATTTAAAATATTCCTTTAGCATATATATACTGTACTTAATATCTACAGTGGAAACTATTAACCCACATCGATCTCTATATCACTCTGTTTGTGTCCCAGTTCCCTAAATAATGATTACAAACACAATTTCTGGAATATTTTGTAAACTTTTTCCGCTGTATTTTGTTCATTCATTCTTAACGCTTTATATTTTTTACATGTTTTTTCTTACTTCATCAGTATTCCAGCCATCAATGCTCCATATATTTCACTTCCAATTTTCAACATTTCTACAGTAATTTCGGTCTTATTTTGGCGTTTAACTATTAAACTTTTATTTTTGTACACTAACCTAACCTAACCTAACCTAACCTAACCTAACCTAGCGTAATCTAACCTAACCTAACCTGAACCATTACTAAGCTATTTTATAGACGATCCCACTTACCCCTCTTTTATTATTTCTTCCCCTTTCACCTTTCTCTCTGCCTCTCTTTCCACTGTTACATTATGCAGGCGTTCAAATATTCTCCCAAACTCTCTCAACTTCCTCCTCCCTCTTCTGTGTTATCCTTTACTTTCATTCTTAAAAGCCCTTTCAACTTTTCCCTTAGTTTTATTCATCCTTATTTCCTTCCAGCATAAATTTTCATTCTTTTTGAAATATTTTTATCATTTTATCTTTCGCCATTCTCATCTGCATGTTTTCGCTTTTATTTTTAACTTTACTTTAATTTTTCTTATTTTTATTTCTCTCTGCCTCGTGTCGATAAGCTGTTCCTAACGGTTAGTCATTCATCCAGTTTCTTTGGATTATCTTTCGACCTGAACTTTGCAATCTTAGTGTTACTGATAAGGAATGCTGATAAGATAGTTTATATGCAACGTCTCTATTAACATATCTACGTCAGTGAAATTAGTTTATTGAATGCTACCTCCCTCCCTCATACCGCCTCCTGGTGGGGATCGAAGCGCGTAATGGGATATTTGTTGCTCCGTTTGCCAATTTTCTCGTTTGTCCGAGCGATATTTCATCATTTTTTTGTGAAGAAGTTGAAATTTGCTAACAATAGTGACCGAGTGTTTTGTCAATAGAGTGTTTTATAAATATCTGTTCTGTAAATCAAGGTCTATTAACCATAATGTCTTTATATCTCTATTTGATGTGTAGAAGCGTTGACAAACCTGCCTCACACCACAAGTAGTTTAGTGGCAAATGGTGCGAGGATCTATATTGATATAAACTCCACTCGGATTCCTTCGTTACTCTACATTTCAGTAAGATGTATGCCCAGGTTAAGACCCCTACTCTATGTATACGTATGTGTATCATTCTTTTAAGAGATCATGTATACTGTATTCCCTATCGTGAATCATTCCACTCCCCATTTCATATCATTCCTAGGACTCTATATTTTTTACAGGTTTCCAGTGCGGTTTTCCAGGTCATGCTAATCCCTTCCTCTTTACTCCTCTCTATATTCTTCACAGGATATATAATACGCCAGAAGCCCTCATCACTGGTGCTTCACATTATACCATGCAGAGTGAGGACTGATGCAAGCAGTATGCCACCAAATATTCTCAAGGCTCGTTACACAACACCACAAGCACACCTCTCACACTTGCTCTTACACACGCACACACGCACACGCACACGCACGCACACACACACACACACATACACTTGTCTTTGATCTTCAGTTTTTATTTACTCAACCATGATATTCAACCTACCTTCTCCTTTATTGTTACTGTCCATCTCTCTCTCTCTGTCACTGTCCATCTCTCTCTCGGTCACTGTCCATCTCTCTCTCTCGGTCACTGTCCATCTCTCTCTCTCTGTCACTGTCCATCTCTCTCTCTCGGTCACTGTCCATCTCTCTGTCACTGTCCACCTTTCTCGTGTTACTAAGCTTATATTTTTCTCTTCCTGTACAGAGCCACGACCCCCTAACACAGGGACCAAGACTAAGGTGTTCGTGGCCAATAATACGGCATCTACCAAAGACGGTGAGTTGTGATTGGTCGATGAGAGAGAGAGAGAGAGAGAGAGAGCGAGAGAGAGAGAGAGAGAGAGAGAGAGAGAGAGAGAGAGAGAGAGAGAGAGAGAGAGAGAGAGAGAGAGATTTTCATGATCCGTGTGAGTGTTTGTGCTTATTTATATTAGTGTAATTGTCTTGTTCTCGATAATCTCTTCTGCCTTTATCATCTCTTTCTATCTGACTATTCATTTATCTCTGTTTTTCATGTTAATTTTTTATCTCTTAAGTTTATCTTTCACCATCGATTACTCTCTTTCTCTTCATTTCTGCCTATCTCCCATCTACCACCCCTCTCTCTCCTTTCCTCCCTCTCTTTTCCTTACGTTCACATCTCCCACCTCATCTTTCCGCATCCTTTTCTCCTCCCATCCTCCTTCACCTTTCCTTCTCCTTCTCCCCCTCCCTCCCTCCCTCCTTCACCTAAATTTTTTCTTCTTCTTTCCTTACCTCCTTCCTTCACTTCCCTTTCCCCTCTTCCTTCCTTACCTCCACTTCTCGTGTGCCCGTCTCTCACTCTCCATGACCTAACTAGTAACGGGACACACACGGAGAAAAAGAATTAAATCTTTTATTAGACATCACTGAGGCTGAACAAATGCAATTGTTAAGCGAACTCAACCCATTTTTAATAGAGCATTACATCCCGGGGGAACTTCATATTATATTTCTCTTACGATTTTCATTGTTAATGCTCTTTTCTGCATCAACTGTATTGTTGGGTATATGTAGCCCGTGAACCATATATATATATATATATATATATATATATATATATATATATATATATATATATATATATATATATATATATATATATATATATATATATATATATATATATATATATATATATATATATGTGTGTGTGTGTGTGTGTGTGTGTAGGTAGTTTTAATAAATTATCGTAAATGTATAAATTATCAAAAGTTGTCAATCTGTTCACCTCAACAGACTGTTCACAGACTTACGTCCGCTCGTATTTAAGATCACATTATACAGTACAAGCATATCCGTAGTAGCTGTTAAATCTTTGAATTTACTCAAATAAACATAATGATAATAATGGTTGCCTCTCGTGTATGAGACTGGTTGGCCAGAGGGCCACCTAGGCGTGAATTTGTTTAAAATGTAGAAGCTGTCACCAACACCACACCCTAAGTTAATGAGCTGTATGACCCAGTGTAAAGGAATAATCCGAGACCTGAAAACTCGACAACTGCACTGGTAGCCATTACCCAGGAACACGATCAACATCTAGGTCCCCAATTACTGCTGGGTAGACAGAAGCAAATGGCGTAAAGAAACTTGCCCATAGTTTCATCATGCTCCGGGACACCCCTCACTAAACATACGTACTGTACTGCACTGCAAATATACACCTGCATAACTATATACATATATGGCTATATTCATGCACACTTCAGGGTCGGTATTATCCAGAAACGACTGATGACAAGTATCCGAGGGTATTATATTCGCGGGAACAACAGAACGACAGAAAATAAAGAGTCGCAAAACTTTACCCTCGTATGATAAATGGGTGGCAACACACACATAAGGATGACGTGAGTGTCACTGTAGCAGCGTTACACAATACCTGTTGAACAAATTAAAAATATACATTGCAAAACAGAGACTAGAAAAGTACTGTCCGCGAGTTGGGTGAAGAGAGAGAGGGAGAGAGAAGCGGTCAAACAAAGGAGTAGAGAGGGTGAGGGAAAACAATAACAACGTGGACTCTTCTTATTGTGTCTAATTTTCTCCGTTTTATATATTGAAATTATCACTGTTACAGCTTACTAGGCCTTGGGTAGACCTTTGTATGTACTGTAAGTCGATCTTTGTATTAATCGAAACGTCAACACTAGTAAAGGAGATATAATTTGAGATAAGGAGTTCCTATTAGATGCGACAAGATCACACGGCAGATAATTCTAATTAAATATTATATGATATATGTGGAACTTGTAAAGAAGCTGAATGGGTTAAGATTCTAATAATTATATTGAGTAATACAGAGGACCTTATAATAACAAGGCCCAGGTGTGTTAATAACCTGTAATATTCACGATTCATAAAGCGTTCACATTATACATCACAAGATGAAGGATGGTGATACTCTCAAAGTTCTCTTATAGAAATTAATGTGTGTTGTCTTAGAATATTCATACGTGCACTACAGAGTACACAAGACACACCTCGACTCCCACACCAGGCGAGACTTGGGCCTCGGCTGTCGTGGTGTGTGGAGTGCATCGCTAACACTCGACTTGGTTTACAGATGGCACTTGTAGGCTGGCACTTCAAGTCGAGTTCAACAAACATCACGCCATCATTTCATCCCTTACTTCCGTCTTCTCAGTCAAGCTCCCTCCTCACTTTTATTACCTCCTTCATGCCTCTCTTCGTACCTTTTCTAGCCTCTAACTGTTGAATGCCTGTAATACCTCTCTCAGTCTCCTCATTCTTCCTTCACCTTCTCTGCCACTCTCTTCTCCTCGGCCTTTCACTGCCTCTCCCTGCCTCAGGTAACCTCCGGGTGGAGATCTTGGGGCCCCGGGAGCTGTACATCGAGGAGGGGTCCTCCCTCACCCTCACCTGCCTGGTGACGTCACTGAGGGGCCCCTCAGCCCTGGTCTACTGGTACCACGACATCAGCCTTATTGACTACAACTCCCCCAGGGGCGGCGTGAACCTGAAGGTGGGTAGTACTTCCTGCCCCGGTACTGTCTCTAACACCAATACTGTCCTTCAAACACCAGAACTATACTCCCAACACCAGTACTGTCCTCCCAACACCAGTACTGTACTCCCAACACCAGTACTGTACTCCCAACACCAGTACTGTCCTCCCAACACCAGTACTGTACTCCCAACACCAGTACTGTACTCCCAACACCAGTACTGTCCTCCCAACACCAGTACTGTACTCCCAACACCAGTACTGTCCTCCCAACACCAGTACTGTCCTCCCAACACCAGTACTGTCCTCCCAACACCAGTACTGTCCTCCCAACACCAGTACTGTCCTCCCAACACCAGTACTGTCCTCCCAACACCAGTACTGTCCTCCCAACACCAGCACTGTCCTCCCAACACCAGTACTGTTCTCCCAACACCAGTACTGTTCATAAGCCAACAGAACAGTGTGTCAAACCCCTTCACTGGTCTTTCGGTAGTCGGTACACTGTAGTATACTCTCATCCCCTCCTTTTTATTGACATAACATAACACATTTCTGTACAGGCACCCAGCGCTTGGGACTGACTAGCTTGACAACAAAAGATAAGAAGAAGCAAGTGACTGATAAGAGTGGAAGTTCATTGTTGTGATTTGTTAGGTGTGTGTTAATGCATTGTTTGTGTTCTGTTGTAAGTCAA